TGACCTCGTGCAAAGACACGTTCCGAGATTCTGAGGGGTATACAGCGCACACTGGCGTGTACCCAAACGTGTTTGCCATAAAATGCTGGGAAGAAAACCACCTCCTTCTTGGCTCGTTTTCCCGCCATTCGCGATCGCGCAAAAAGTGTCCAAAACCCCGTTGACTTAACATGGGCGAAAATTGAAACGCACGTGCCACGTGCCACGAGGTTTTAAGCGAGTAGCGACCGATGCCATCAGGTAGATCGCCTCCGGGAGCCCATACACTGAACTTTTTACGAAGATTGTACATTTCGTCTAGGCCCCCGTCAAGTTGCCCCAATCTCAGGCCAACTTTGCAAAACATAGCCCGGAGAACGACCGCTCCGGTTGTTTTTCAATAGAAAAACACAATTCTAACGAATAGTGTTTGTCTTTTCAAACAACCTGCGGTTAACCGCAGGTTGTTTGAGCAAGCACCTCTGTAACGCCGCAAAAACGCCACCCGCCAAACGAGAGGATGAGCCTTGCACGTGCAGACCGGAGTGGGTGTGCTAAAAACTGACGTGCACGGCACCCTATTCGCCCGTCTAGAGCGGTGTGCAAAATTTGGGTGCAATCGGCCCGGCCGTTTTCGAGATCTTGAAGCGGCACCCTGCACGTGCGCACGGGCAAGCTGGGTCCCAACTGACTTGTGCACGGCACTCTATTCGCCGGTCTCTAGCGGTGTACCAAATTTAATCGCATTCGGCCCAGCCGTTTCCAAGATCTGGAAACGACCCCTACACGTGCGCACGTGCAGTTGTACCCCAACCGTGGCACATGAAAAAACATACTTACTGACTTGTGCACGGCACCCTACTAACCAGTCTCTAGTGGTATGCCAAATTTGAGCACGGTCGGCCCGGCCGTTCTCGAGATCTGGAAGCGTCGTCCTGCACGTGCGCACGTGCAAAATGAGTCCCATCTGACTTGTGCACGGCACCCTGCTCGCCGAGCCCTAACGGTGTGCCAACTTTGATCACAATCGGCCCAGCCGTTCTCGAGATCTGGAAGCGTCACCCTGCCCGTGCGCACGTGCAGCGGCACCCCAACCGTGACACATGGAAACCTTGGCACATGGAAATACACAATAACTGACTTGTGCACGGCACCCTACTAACCAGTCTCTAGTGGTATGCCAAATTTGAGCACGGTCGGCCCGGCCGTTCTCGAGATCTGGAAGCGTCGTCCTGCACGTGCGCACGTGCAAAATGAGTCCCATCTGATTTGTGCACGGCACCCTACTCGCCGATCCCTAACGGTGTGCCAACTTTGATCACAATCGGCCCAGCCGTTCTCGAGATCTGGAAGCGTCACCCTGCCCGTGCGCACGTGCAGCGGCACCCCAACCGTGACACATGGAAATGCATTGCGGGGCGGGTGCCTACATCCATGCCAAGTATCAGCGCAATCGGCAAAATAACTACAGAGTTATTAGACTTGTTACCGAACTGACACCTCTTCGTTTTGCACGTGGCACGTGCATTAGGGGTCACCCATACGCATCGAGAACAGCACACTACGTGTAAGAAAGGAAGAGGCTATCCCTCACAAAAGACCGCAAGTGAATCGGTCAAGCGGTTGTGGAGATATAAGGTTTGTAAAGGCACCCCACAGGCGGCCTACTGCTAATATTTAGCAATAATCAGTGTCGCATCCGCACACGGGAGGTATCCCCGTCACCTGTTCGTATACTGTAATGTGGTTGGGTTCAAGTCACAGTCGAGCCCTGCTTTTTTACAGCTTTTCTTAAAAACGGCACATCGTGCAGTGACGTTCTATGCATCAGTGGAAAGAGCATCAAAAATTGTATATTATATTAACTTTTCACCTATATATATTACTAACGATAAAAGTTTTACAGGAATAAAGATGCTCCCATTGACTTTCCATGTTAAAAATTTTCATTTTCAAACGAACTTTATTAGAAAAAACGATTTCTGCCAGCTTAACGAAGCATACCAGCATGTACTACGCTCCTTTCTCTACAAGATATAAGAGTTTGGGCGAAATCTATCTCTAAAATTTTGCACAAAGATCGAATGAAAATGTCTCTGCAAAGTCTGGACATCGCCGTCCATTGACTTAACATGGGACACAGCAAAATTCCAACTTTGACCTTGTGCATAGAGGTGTTGCGAGATTCTGGCGGGTATACAGCGCACACGAGCGTGTACCTGAACGTGTTTGCCATAAAATGCTGGGAAGAAAACCACCTCTTCCTTGGCTCGTTTTCCCGCCATTCGCGATCGCGCAAAAAGTGTCCGAAACCCCGTTGACTTAACATGGGGAAAATGGAATCGCACGTGCCACGTGCCACGAGATTCTGGCGGGTGTACGGCGCACACGGGCGTGTACCTGAACGTGTTTGCCATAAAATGCTGGGAAGAAAACCACCTCCTTCTTGGCTCGTTTTCCCGCCATTGGCGATCGCGCAAAAAGTGTCCAAAACCCCATTGACTTAACATGGGGAAAATGGAATCGCACGTGCCACGTGCCACGAGGTTTTAAGCGAGTAGCGACCGGTGCCATAAGGTAGATCGCCTCCGGGAGCCCATACACTGAACTTTTTACGAAGATTGTACATTTCGTCTAGGCCCCACCCAAGTTGCCCCAATTCGCGGCCAGACTTGCAAAACATAGCCCGGACAACGACCGCTCCGGTTGTTTTTCAATAGAAAAACACAATTCTAACGAATAGTGTTTGTCTTTTCAAACAACCTGCGGTTACCAGCATCTGCGATGCTGGGCTCCGCATCGCGGGACCGCAGGTTGTTTGAGCAAGCACCTCTGTAACGCCGCAAAAACGCCCGCCGCCAAACGAGAGGATGAGCCTTGCACGTGCAGCCCGGAGCGGGTGTGTCACGAACTGACGTGCACTGCACTCTACTAACCGGTCTCTAGCGGTTTGCCAAATTTGAGTGCAATCGACCCGGCCGTTTTTTAGATCTGGAAGTGACACCCTGCACGTGCGCACGTGCAACCTGGGTCCCAATTGACTTGTGCACGGCACTCTATTCGCCGGTTTCTAGCGATGTACCAAATTTAATCTGAATCGGCCCAGCCGTTTCCAAGATCGGGAAACGATCCCTACCCGTGCGCACGTGCAGCTGCACCCCAACCCTGGCACATGAAAATACATACTAACTGACTTGTGCACGGCACACTACTAACCAGTCTCTAGCGGTATGCCAATTTTGAGCACAGTCGGCCCAGCCGTTCTTGAGATCTGGAAGCGTCAGCCTGCACGTGCGCACGTGCATAACGGGTCCCATCTGACTTGTGCACGGCATCCTACTAACCAGCCTCTAGCGGTGTGCCAAGTTTGATCACAATCGGCCCAGCCGTTCTCGAGATCTGGAAACGTCACCCTGCCCGTGCGCACGTGCAGCGGCACCCCAACCGTGACACATGGAAATGCATTGCCGGGTGCGTGCCAACATCCATGCAAAGTACCAGCGCAATCGGCAAACTAACTACAGAGTTATTAGACTTGTTACTGAACTGACTTCTCATCGTTTTGCACGTGGCACGTGCATTAGGGGTCACCCATAAGCATCGAGAATAGCACACTACGTGTAAGAAGGGAAGAAGCTATCCCACACAAAAGACCGGGAGGGAATCGGTCAAGTAGTTGCAGAGATATAAGGTTTGTAAAGGCACCCCACAGGCGGCCTACTGCTAATATTTAGCAATAATCAGTGTCGCGTCCGCACATGGGAGGTGTCCCCTTCACCTGTTCGTATATTCTAATGTGGTTGGGTTCAAGTCACAGTCGAAGCCTGCTTTTTTACAACTTTTCTTGAAAACGGCACACCGTGCAGTGACGTTCCATACATCAGTGGAAAGAGCATCAAAAGTTGTATATTATATTAACTTTTCACCTATGTATATTACCAACAATAAAAGTTATAGAGGAATAAAGACGCACCCATTGACTTTCCATGTTAAAAATTTTCATTTTCAAACGAACTTTATTAGAAAAAACGATTTCTGCCAGCTTAACGAAGCATACCAACATGTACTATGCTCCTTTCTCTACAAGATATAAGAGTTTGGGCGAAATCTATCTCTAAAATTTTGTACAAAGATCGAATGAAAATGTCTCTGCAAAGTCTCGACATCGCCGTCCATTGACTCAACATGGGACACAGCAAAATTTCAAATTTGACCTCGTGCAAAGACACGTTCCGAGATTCTGAGGGGTATACAGCGCACACTGGCGTGTACCCAAACGTGTTTGCCATAAAATGCTGGGAAGAAAACCACCTCTTCCTTGGCTCGTTTTCCCGCTATTGGCGATCGCGCAAAAAGTGTCCAAAACCCCGTTCACTTAACATGGGGAAAATGGAATCGCACGTGCCACGTGCCACGAGGTTTTAAGCGAGTAGCGACCGATGCCATCAGGTAGATCGCCTCCGGGAGCCCATACACTGAACTTTTTACGAAGATTGTACATTTCGTCTAGGCCCCACCCAAGTTGCCCCAATTCGCTGCCAGACTTGCAAAACATAGCCCGGAGAACGACCGCTCCGGTTGTTTTTCAATAGAAAAACACAATTCTAACGAATAGTGTTTGTCTTTTCAAACAACCTGCGGTTACATCAGCTTCTTTTAGTATGCATCGTAACGCTAATTTGGGGGCTTTCAGTGTCGGCCCATGCCAGAATATTGCTTAGATATTCTAATTACCTTGACACCACCATAGCGACGCTGATTGTCGTGGTTGTTTGGTCAGAATATGGCATCTTAACGAATTTTACGAATATTTTACGAGCAGTGACTACAGTAGTGGCCTGCAGCGTTGCAAATATGGATAGATTTGAACTTTTACTGCCATGATGATCTGTGCTTGTGTCCGGGCCAATGAGAGTACCCTGATTAGAACAACAAGCTCTGATGGATGTCTGGGTCCAGCCGAGCACCTTATCTGTGAAGTGTGAAGGTATAATAACCGAGCGTCTCTGTGTTTGTTTCAGGCCCCGGCCGCCGTTATCCGGGAGAGCGTCTCTGCCAGTCGGCATGAGACGGTCAGTCATTTACCATGACTGGCGACCGAAGTGATACCAAAGGACAAAGCGCGGGCAATGGCCCTTATGTTTCTGTGGCGCCGGTTATCTGATTCACCCCATTCGTGACGGCGTGGGGCGTCCCTGGTCAGAGGCCTGACCAGCCGGGGACGCTCCTCGCCGTGGTAACTGATGTGGAGAGCGCTCGCGAATCATGACCTCGGGACTGAATAAAGTTGGGTTTTAATTCCTCTCGTCTCTGGTCTCTCAATGAAATTGTGAATGATGTCGCGAATCGGATGTTGAGAGTTGCACCTCTACCTTGAGAACGACTATGTAACTGATGACGTCCTCGTATTCCTCGCTCGGTGGGAGTGGACTTTGTAGTGGCGTTAGGGTGTTTATCATTTCATACGCCACATTCATTGACACGCCAGCTTCAGTAAAAGTCGCGATATGTTATCGTTTGACTGCGTTACGGATATTATTCGGCTCACACTGCTTTCTCACTCGGCTGTGTCCTGCGGGTGCAGGTGGCGCTGTGATCGGTTCCCACCCGGCTGAGGCGGCCACTGCTGCCGCTGGTCAGTGATTACTCGCTGCCGGTTCACTCTCGGTAGCATGCACTCGCTACTTCCGTGACCTTGCCCGCGTGTAGTATCGGAATATGGGCGCGTCGTGACCTCTGTGCGTGCTGCTGCCGGGTCGCCCGCGTGATAGCGCTGCCGTCACCGATAGCCTGAGGACACGCCGGTAAAACGGCCTTGACGGAAGGGACGCCGCCAGAATTGTCTCTGTGAAAACATAGTCTAACATAGATAGTCTATGAATGAGCAATGCAATACGGTTACACTGGCGGGTGGTTGACCACATTAGCTTTATTGTAAATAGAATGCACAGTGCCTTCCTGTTAGTTGCTTCGAAGTAGAGTCCTTGAGAGCTAATCGAGGCTGATGAGACTTGTAGAAGTCTGTTTAGGAAAAGACGTAGTCCGAAAAACATGAATGACTTGGAATTATGCTGCAGATGTGATTGAACGAACACGTACCCGTGTCCCGTACTAGGCACTGCCCATGCAGGACGGTAGCACCTTACTTTCGCTTTCACATGCTCGGTATGACTAGTGTTAAACGAAATAAAAATATTTAAGAGCTGACTTACCAGTAATCTTAGCTAGCAGGATAACGTCACGGGACTCAAGTTATTCTGCTTCATTAAGCATGTGTCTTTTTTTTAGTAAGCTAGCAGCTGCTCTGGTGGCCCTTTACCGGCGTTATTACGGAGCGAGCGAAGCGAGCGTAGTCTTTCCTTAGATTAACGGAAATTTCTGAGTATGAGCGGCCGGCCGGCCGGCCGTGCGGACGCTTTTGCGAGGCTTATATCTCAGCAACCACTTGACCGATTTACATGCGGTAATTTTTGTAGGGTAGCTTCATTCCTTCTACCAAGTATTGGACTATTTCCGATGCATGTAGGTGACCCCTTATGCACGTGCAAAACGAAGAGGTGTCAGTTTTGTAATTGTTGCAATATCTCGGTAACTACTTGGGCGATTGCGCTCAAAGTTGGCATGTAGGTAGGCACCCACTAGGCACTGCATATCCATGTGCCAGAGTTGGGGTGCTGCTGCACGTGCGCACGTGCAGGGGTCGTTTCCAGATCTCGAGAACGGCTCGACCGATTGCGCTCAAATTTGGTATACAGTTAGGGATCGGTTAGTAGGGTGCCGTGCACAAGTCAGTTGGGACCCATTTTGCACGTGCGCACGTGCAGGGTGCCGCTTCCAGATCTCGAGAACGGCTGGCCCGATTGTGCCCAAATTTGGCACATCGCTAGAGACCGGTTAGTAGGGTGCCGTGCACAAGTCAGTTGGAGGTACCCCCTCGCAATTTCGCACGTGCAAGGCCCACCCTCTCGCTCGCTCCGTTAGTCGCCCCAAAAGGCGTTATACTGGTCTTAGCTTCGTTCTTGGCATCGTTTCATTTGAGCATGCATAGTATTTGGGGCGGTCTGGTTGGGTGGCCGGGGGCGAGGCTGCGGCGTCGTGAGTACACCAAGCGGGAACCATGTACTCGGAGGGCGCTGGTGACGAAAATAAAGCTTCCGCGCAACCACAGAACCCCGCTGAGTGGGGGACCGCCGCCTGGGAGGTAAACGGGCCTCCCGCGGAGACTGGCGGCAGCGCTGCCGGCCCGACAGTCTTTGTTGGACGCTCGAAGGGGGTGTGCTACGGAAGAGTCTGGTGCTCCCTGGGAAGGAACTGATTGTAGCTCGAAATCAGCATCGGTTTTCTGCAGAGTAGTTAAATGAGTGTGAAGTGCTTGTCTTTGTGATAGTGGTGTTCAGATTCGTCTGAAGTTCTGTCAAAATGACCACTTCTCAGGTAAGCTGGTTTTGTTCTACCACTGAAAAACTATTGTTACCGATAGTGCAATAACGTTTTTGCAATAACGTACCTTCATTTGACTCAACTCACATAAGTGAACTTCATAACAGCGCGTATATTCGAGATAAATATGATTTACTAGCAGATAGTTTCGAGAGAAAAGAAACAGCTGCGTCATATCTGTCGACCATCTTTCATGGTTTGTTGCCATTATTTTACATTGCATCCGCCGTTTGGGTGTGACTGGTTTTGGGTGCTGCGTGTTTTAGGTTTGTGTTGGTAATTGTGTGAACAAAGAGTGCAACTTAGCATTTTATCCATTCTTGTTGCTTCTTTATTAAATATTTTATCAATAATTCACTGTAGGTGCATTTATTTATCTGCTGTCAAAGGCGGGTCATCACGATGCCTCAGCCTGACCTTTTCGATATCGATATGATGATATCGATCAACTCTGTTTTGGGCTCACATTTCATTTCTGTTTTCTGTTTCTTTGTGTGAATGATTTTCCCAGAAAGTTTGTGTTTATATTAGTGCTTGTCAAATTCTTGTCAAATATATAAATGTAGGTATATTGCTTGCTGAAGTATTGCTTTTGTATTGTCAAACGTCATAAACATGAATCATGGGTGTCAAGTAATCATTATCAATCTGTACTGATTCTTGATTGAAGTGATTCTTCATGTAACTTAACTACTTCATATATATGTTTTATTCATGTTAATAATGTTATAAACAAAACCTCTCATGATTTTATTTTTGGACATTCAAATACTTCAGAAATAACCACTTAAGGAAAATAGCATTATGGTTAAAACTTAAAAGGTATTGTTTTAACCTTAAATATCTCATGTTTTCAGCCAGTGAAGATGCCTCAAGTGTTTAAGAGCCTGCTGGGCAAGAGCCTAGTGCACCGCCGGCCCAAGGATGAGGGCCCGTCTGAGATTGGTCTACCCACAAATGTCACTCACACAGTGCATGTCGGGAAGAATGAGGCCGGCGACCTAGAGGGCCTGCCAGAGTCCTGGCAGAGTTTCATTGATAGGTTTCTCAGGTAAGTCCATTGTCCAGTTCCACTGCCCAGTAACATAGTTAAAGATAGTCCTTACTCCTTGCTCTTTAGCAAGGGGGCAAGGGGCTATTTTGTCTGGATTATGTCTAGTATGATAGGTATATTGTCTCAGGAGCAGCTTGAAGTTCATTATAATAATAATACATGTTTATTTCATACCATAAGTGGTACATATAGGCGAACACTAAAACAAACACACACAGACACACCACCAAACAACCAATACACAAGCCAGGTACTCTTTCCTCAGAGAGATGCACTGGTCATAAGACACGGTTGCGTCGTTCCATAACGAATCTTGCTATGTGTGCAACAAAAACATTGAATAGATCTGGCGACGAAGTGGCATATAAGTTGAGATTCAGCAAATCGTACTTTTGGCGATGTTTTGTATGCATACGGGCAGACAAGCCGTTGCTCCCGATGGAACTGGCTAGCAAGGCCACAATCAGTGTGTTGGAGGCCTGTGAGAGTCGAAGCCAAAAGACTAACTGGCGATAGGTGATTTGCATTGGGCAGGTCAGCATGTGAAGATCGTGACACAGATCATGATTCCTACTCCACCGAGGGACTTTGACAAGCTTCTTGAGACAACTGTGGTATGCTATACACAACTCTCGAAACGTTTGCTGGTCACGATACACGTTCCAGAGCTCACATCCATACAGGTTGGTGCAGTACGATTTGAAGAGCTTCGTCAGTACACTTTTGTCGGCAAAGCCAATAGCTGCTGATAGCATGTTTACATTGGTATAAAGCGCTCTCTTAACACGGCGCATGTCATCGATGTCGCGCAGATCATCACGAATTACATGACCCAGGTACTTAAAAGACGTCACCCATCTTAACTGCTGGCCAGAAAGTAGCAACGAAGGAGGTCTGGAATTAACCAGATGAGTGGCCGAGTACGGTTTTCGAGGGAGGAATTGCATACACACAGATTTAAGAGGGTTAAATTCAACGTCGAGAAGATGAGCTTGCCTATTGCACTCATTTACAATTGTCTGCAACGCTTCCCTCGTGGGGGCCAGAAGCACAATGTCATCAGCGTATGCCAAAATGTTCGTTGCACATGCACCTACGCGACAACCAACACTCATTTCTCGCACTTTGCACAGAATGGAGTCAACGTACACACTAAATAACAACGGAGAGAGGATGCCCCCCTGCCTAACGCCATTGCCAGCATGAAATTTTTCGGAGATAAGACCATCCCATTTAACACCCAATGTCTGCATCCTGTACCAGTACAGCAACAGTTTGAGGTATTGTGAAGGCACGCCACGGTCGGTCAAAATACCAAACAGCTTTGAGTACGAAACACGGTCAAAAGCTTTTCTCGCATCCAGGAAACATGCATACACTGGACTGCCAAGTACATTATAATAATTGATCACTTCCTTGAGCACAAAAGTAGCATGGGTCGTTGAATGACTATCTTTAAAACCAAACTGTGCGTCGCTCGTGTGGAGGTATGGTGCAAGCCTTTCATGTAGAACTAGTTCCAGTACTTTAGATACACTAGTTGAGAGGGCAATGGCCCGATAGTTCGACTTATCATCCAAAGCACCGCCCTTATTTTTAACTAAGGGTACGATAATCGAATGCATCAAACTTTCTGGAACATAAGCATGGCTAACAAAGCTGCGGAATAATAGCACAAATATTTGCTTAATATCGCCATCCAGATGACGGAGATGATCAGGGGATAGACCGTCCCAGCCTGGGGACTTGCCATTTTTAAGCTTATTTATAGCAGCACTGATCTCATCATAACTGATATCGGGGAGATCATCTGAAGGTGTACTGTAAAGCTGGTCCAGATACTGCTGGTCACTACCACAACTGTGGTCGTTAAAGATTTCTGAATAGTGGTCCTTCCACATCCTAACAATGTTAGAGCTCTCGGACACCTCTCCAAAGCTAGACACCGCGGGGCTGCCACCACCGAGGTGCCTCCTGACAAGAACCCAGAAACGATTATCTGGCTGATGGGAAAGAGCCTCACCCAACTGATTGGCCAGCAAGATCTCACGTTCCCTTTTGCAGCGGCGTAGGGCGTATTTAAACGATGAACGTGCCAGTGACATTCGGGAAAAGAGAGCACCTGTCCTGGGAGAGCCAGCGGCACGCCAATTAAGAAAGGCACCGCGAGACGCTACATACTCGGCACGCACAGACCCATTCCAGCCGGGTGTGCACTTTGGATGTGCCATTGGATGCCTTTTGATGCACCTGTTTCCAGCGCGGACAATTACATGAGTAACGTAATCATACATACCGGCCAAAGCATACGCGTGTTCTGTTACGTTACAGTCAGACTGACAGTTGGGATGGATCTCTGCAACGGCTGCATCGTACGAAGGCAGGCAATTGCGAATTTCAGCGTTGTAACGAGACAAATCCTCGACGGAAACAGCTCTCCAGTTGAGAGAAGGCGCACATTGAGCGGACAGACTTGATGGTGTAAGCCGGCAGGGTCTTAAGTTATATGTGACAACTAAAGGCAAATGGTCACTTATACAAATGTCGAAGCGTATCTCTACAGCATTGATTAAATGATGCAGGGTGGGACTGCATAAGCAATGGTCCAGCCAGGAAGTTGTGCCATGTGCCGCGCTTAGAAATGTATAGTTGTCCGTGGAGGGTCCTAGAAAGCACATATCGGAAGTGAATAAGCCCTCTTCTGCGCAGAACTCGAGTAGTTCTGTGAAGAACCGAGAGCCACGACTGTTGGCATTAAGATCACCAATAATTCCCAACAAGTTCGAGCGGTGACGCTGTTGACTCAGCGTACAACTGAGTTGACCAAGGAACATACAGAAATCATCTAAGCAATCATGGTTACCGTAATCAGTTGGGAGGTATACATTAAAGAGACAAACCAAACCTGCATTTGTTTCAATATCAAGACGCATTATCCGTTTATCAATAACACTGACCTTAATGGAAGGCTGAATGCACTTTTTCCACAATATAGCCAGCCCGCCATATGGTCTTCCTCTAAGTAAGTTGGCCGAAGAGTCCATGGCCGATACACCTATGCCCAAAAAATTGTCATGCATGATGTTCAGCATTGGAAGCTCAAAAGTAGCTAACCAGGTTTCTTGCAGGAACACAATGTCATAGTCATTGCATAGTGACCTTATGTCAGGTGCAGAACTTTTCAATGAATGACAGTTTAGACTACATATTTTGAGCATGGAGGCCGAGACTAAACACGACCAGCGGCCACGTCGCTCGCGCTCCTGCTTCTCGTCAGTCTTTGCCGACTGAGAGGCTCACTGGGTGGCGCAAGACTAGCACCAGGACCATCCTGGACACGTTTAGGAGGGAAGTACTTTTTCAGAGACACATGGGCGGGCCATTTGTCTCCGGCCAGGACGACATCTCGACACTGCATTGGCACCGACACGACATACCCCTTATACCCGTATGCAGCTAGGCAGTGCGGTATCTCCTTAACCTCCGCATTGCCAGCACCACCAATGATAAAGTCTACGTGGGTCGCTACACCCTGTTCAGTGGTAGACGGATCTAGACGCCCCACGAAGAGGTCGACCTTTCTCGGCGGAGGAGCTACACCTTTCAGACCAAACTGACCTGACGCTGCGGAGCCTGTAACAATTTGCCGTCTTCTTGGTTTGGCCCTTACCACTTGAGTAAAACCATCAGCGTCCACCAACGGTTGCGGAACCTGGTCACGGATAACCGTGGGCTGATTCTGCTGCTGTTGGTTCTGCTGCTGACGCCGCTGCTGCTGCGACTGCAGCTGTGGCTCCTGGGGCCGCGGCTCCTGAAGCAGTTGGGGTTGGAGCTGTTGTCCCTGAGACGCAGAACACTGACGCGTCTGTCTAGCTGAGCCCTGTTGATGCGCTTGCTGCTGCTGCTGCGGTTGCTGCTGCAAGGGTCGAGTCTCTCCAGCGTGAGAGGCACCGCGCTGCTGCTATGGCCCGGCTTCAGTTGACATGCCAGCTTCAGCTGATGACGATTCAGTTTGAGATCGCACTACCTGTGCCCATGTTGCTGCTTGCTGAGGCGAGCTATCTTTTAGAGCTTGAACAGCCTCACGTAGTTGACACATCTCACTCTGCATGGCAGTGAGCTGGCTCAAGACCAGAGCCATGCCTGTATCATCGCAAGTAGAGGGAGGAAGGTTTCCCAGGTCGGTGGCGTAGAACTGGGGAACAGGCACCCCCTCTCTATCACAGACTTGGAGAGCTTTTAGGATATCTTCCATGTCTGCTTTCTCTTTCATTCCGCCACTGGAGACTTTTCTTTTAATGTTCCGGAGATCTTTGCGCGATGGAAACGCCTTAGTGATAAGTTCGCCCCAGAGCACATCTTTTGCATCTTGAATTGCTTGTTGTGAATAAAACTTCATACATGTGCTCACAATTACTTCAAATGGCATGGTTCCCAGTTTGTTAATGACAAAGCAGAGAAGCTCACTTTTGATAATGGCCGAGCCCAGGGAGTCCATGCTGGCTTATTTATCAACAGTTTTCACAAGCTTGATATTTTATCCCGATCCGCTGTAACGAAGTCTGTCATGCAGTTGCACGGGGAAAACTCAAACATTATATATATGTTGTATAAAACTCAAACATTATATAAAACTCAAACATTATATATATTATATATATATTATAAGCAAACATTATAGTTCATGTTTGCTTTATAATTGTGCCCTGTCAGGCATGTTTTTTATCATGTTCTTGTGGTTTGTTTTCATTTGATCTTTTGAGTTGTAGGGCATTGTACAATGTACATTTATTTCATGATTTCATTGCTTACCTTTTCCAGCAAAGATGAACAAAAACAAAATCCAGATGCTGCAATTAATGCACTCAAGCTCTTCAACTATTCCATGAAGAAGCCAAATCAAAATGTTCCATTTAAGCCTTTCATCACACAAGACACCATCAATGAAGAGTTGGAGGAAATCAATCACATTCTTGGTAAGCAGTGCTTCATATTCTTTGATCCTGTTCAGATTGGGCCTTGGGGCTTCAGTTAAGAGTTGTTGAAAACGAGAAATTCATTATGTTAGCATCTGTTGTGGTAGTTGTAATATGTCCTTCATTAGGGGGGTCCGAAATGTATTAAAGTTGTCCGAAACCACGGGAACCGGGTTTTTCCCATAGGTCCTTTCAATACCTTTCCAAAATGGTGCGGCAATCGAAATTTTAAAGAACTTTCACCTTGCCTCAAATCGATTGAAAGTTTATCAAATTTAGCCAATTTAGTACTTCATGAACTTTCGCTTTTAACATACGTCCCACAGTTTAATGCGCAATTGATTGGGCCGGTGATCTTGTTTTCAAGGAAAAATAGCTGCACAAATCACAAAATATATTATAATGCATGCCAAGAGCCAAATGATGAAATCACATCATGACTAAATACCATGTGGATTACAATAAATCACTTAAAATATCGCGTATCAAGGTCCCCAGAATAGGAATCGTTTTGGTCTTTATTTGTCCAAATGCGCCATATGCATCGAGAACTTCCACCTCGCCTGAACTGAGTTGAAAATATCTAGGTAAGCCTATGATTTGAGCCGCGGTCTGTTGCGAGTGCAGACGGACCCCCCCCCCCCCCATTGCGGGTAATTACATGCATGTCATGACCCCTCAAGGTTGGCGAGTGGCGCTTCTCACATTTCTTAACACTACAAACAAAGAGGGCAAGCTTCTGGGCATTCCTCCGATGGAGGATGAGGACGGCAAGCCCACCAGCACCGGTTCCGCCCAGTTCCAGTACGTCAAGGAGCTGATAGTCACCTGGAACGGAAAGGACAACATCAGAGCTGTGTCATTTGACACAACAGCCTCTAACACAGGAATCTTCCGTGGTGCCGCGACCAGAATGGAGGCCTTTCTGAACAGGCGAGTCCTATGGCTGGCCTGCAGGCACCATGTGCATGAGCTCGTGCAGCGCGCCCTGCAGGACCTGCTGTTCGAGAAGGACAAAGGACCAGAGAACGAGGCATACCTGGCAGTGAAGAACATGTGGTCGTCGCTCGACACGGGACCAGCGGCTTCCTTCAAGAAACTGGTGTTCCGGTCAACTGTGCTGCTCAAGATGAGGGACGAGGCGGCGAAGTACCTGAAGGAGGTGCTTTGTGAGCACAGCGACCATGTCCTGCTCAGGGACGACTACGACGAGCTGGCCAGAACGTCACTCAGCGTACTGGGGGGGATCCCGCCTGGTGGCACCAAGTGGATGAAGCCCGGAGCCAGCCACAAGGCCCGCTTTATGGCTGACGTCATCTACACAAACAAGATGTACGCCTTCCATGCCTCCCTGGGGTACGACAAGGCCACCATCGCCGCCCTGCGCAGGGTCGTCCAGCTCAACTGCCTGCTGTACGTCCCGCAGTTCCTGAAGGCGGCTATCGGGGCAGATGCTCCAGTCAACGACCACCACTTCGTGAAACAGCTACTGCGATACAGGGCGGTGGACCGTGACGTGGCTGACACAGCGCTGAAGGTCCTCCGGAGGCACGGCTGGTACCTGACCCAGGAGCTGGTGGTCTTCTGTTCCACCTTGTCGCTGTTCAGCGACAAGGTGGATGCCGACGAAAAGTCGCGGCTGGCGGCGCGACTGCAGACGTTCCGCGTCCCGGATGACTTCGAGCTGGGAGTCCCGGACTTCCCCGACGTAGATGAGGGCACTGAACTAGTGGACCTGCCTAACAGCTGTACCCTGTTCAGTGTTCATGCTGCTCGAAACCGGGACCAGCTGGCTGCAGAGCGGACCCGAGACGTGGTCAGAGGACCCGGATTATCAGGAGACTACCGCCTTCGTCACCACGGTGAAGGTGACCAACGACGTGGCCGAGCGCGGGGTCAAACTCGTCACCGACTATATGGAGATCCTGACGAAGGACGACACGACCAGGGAGTTCCTGCTGCAGGGGGTGGAGCTCCACCGACGCAAGTTTCCAGACTTCCAGAAGAACATAGCATCTGCGTTCTAGACCTAGCGTTCCAGGGCACATGTGGGCAAACATAGACCAGAACGGTTCCTATCCTGGGAATATGACATGTGATACTTTACGTGATATATTGCAATCCATACGGTACAAAGTCATGATGTGATCTTTTCGTTTCGTTCTTGAAATAGATTATAATACATTTTGTGATGTTCGCTGCAATTTTTTTCTTCGCAAATGAGGTCGCCCGCACAGCCTATTGCCCATAAAACTGAGGGCCATAGTTATAAGAGAACGTTCATAAAGTACAACATTGGCTAAATTCTTTCAAATTTCGATCGATTTGAGGCAAGGTGAAAATTCTATGAAATTTCGGTTGCCGCACCATTTTGGAATCGTCTTGAAACGAACTATGGGAAAAACTCGGTTCCCGCGGTTTTGGACAACTTTTATGCATATCGGACCACCCTAGTCCTTCATAGTGTGTTCAGTGTAGGTGCCTACCACTTAATTTTTTCATGAAGCTGCAACACCTGTTGGTGGGTGTTGCAAATGTATAATGCCAATGTTGCCATCATTGGGCAGCATCTGCAGTTGTACCACCTACCTCACTGGCCAGTGGCCACTCACCTCACCCATGACCCCTCTGCCTCTGGCTAGACTCGAAGGTATCGCTGAAGTCGACGGCGCCCGTGCCTCCCGAGGTGCCTGCCAACCTGAACAAGGTCAAACAGCAGACCAAAGAAGACGATGAGGTAGGTCGGGGTATGCATGGCGAGCATTCCGTGCAAATATGCAATGTTGCCTCACCTCCATGATCAGCTGCACTGATTTGTGAGTTGTGACACTTTGTCTAGACATTATAACGGATAAAAATTTTCCGGTAAAATTGACGAGATCGACGTCTTCCGACAGCTTAAATCCGCGCCATCATCATTATCATGAAATCGTCGACTTGCATGCATTAACTAGTATGGCGCTTTTGTCACGGCGCCTTTCAGTTCCGACATGGCTACTGTGTGACATCTTACCTGACCTATTCCACGTCACCCCTTTGACTGCCCTGTCCTCGCCCTGACCCCGTGGTATGACCGGCAGCCGCCGGCGGCGCCGCCGACCTCACTGGTGCCGGCTCCGGAGGACGACGTGCCGCCGCCCATACCCGACAAGGTGGGCCACAGAGGAGAGGGCAACGGCACCGCGCCCAGCCCCATGGTCCGCAAACGCACCGTCGAAAAGCCGAAAATGTCCAACGCGGCCGTGAACGAGGCTCTGCGGGAGATATGCGCGCCGGGCGACCCGCGAGAGAGGTTCGCCTTCGACAAGGAGCTCGGCGCCGGGTGAGTGGGGGCGAGGTACGAACGAGGGGAGGGGGTCTGGTGATGCATGGTGAGGTGGGATGGAGGAGGGAGGGGAGGGAGTAGCTTGCAATGGGGCTGGACATTTGAGCTGAAGCTTACGGAGCTATGACGATTGGGCGGAATAGTTCGATGGTTATGCTCGCGAAATTTCTATTGAGGTTCGCGGGCTGTGCGACTGGACTACAGACCACGAACTCTGACATGACGGTTACCGCGGTGTCTGATCGTGTCTGGACGGGCCGGGATAGGGCTGAATCCCCCGACTCGGTGGCAGTGTGGGACGCTCTGCCGGTCCGGCGGCCCCCGGCTCGGATTTGGAGCTACTCGTAACGACGTTTGGATTCCGTGACAGCGAGCCTGAGCCGGTCTCGCGTCATCGGAGCCCCGGTGCCGTCATTTCAAATACCCCACGGTTTACCTGGGGTGGGGGAAGGGGTGATGATGGTGGTGGAAGACACCATGGAGTGGTCTGGGGTCCACGGGTGTAGCCTCGGCTGTAGTGGCTGGGAGGAAAGGATCCGTTTTGCCCGCCGCTCGTGCCGGAGGCGGCGCCAGGATGTGATCTGCGTCCAAAACAGGGGGGCCTGAATAGACGGGGCCGCTCCGATCATTGGTATGCGCATGGTAAGACGCCGCTCCGGCCTCAGTGTGTCGACGGCCGCCGCATCTCCAGTGGGCTTTGTGCGGCGCTGAGAGCTGACTGCATAAGTATGATGTCGGGACGGTGTCCATAGTCGGCGATGGGGAAGGTGTCTGAACTTGGAAGGTCACCGCGACTGGAACCATTTATGGTGTCCTCGTAGGGCTTCGCCGACATCCGTGATCCGTGAATTGGTATCGTGAGCCGTGATGTGTATCGTGATTTGTACCTCCTTCCGCGAATCGTGGTCGGCACCATAAGTCATGAATTCATGATTCGATCTGTGAGTCGTGACAGGTAGGTACTGTGAGTCGCGATCAGTATTGTATCCGATCCTTATTTGTGATTCGTCTCGCGAGTTCAGATTCTTACCGCGATCAGTTGACACATTGAGGCCTTTCGTACTTCTCCGTGACTACTCAGCTGGTACCGTACCGGCAGACCCGCCACGCCTCTCATTCTAACCAAATTGTGACATCGACGTGATCTCAGACGCGTCTTATTTCTTATACATTACCCAGCCGCTGCCCAGACCTGTGACCTGACCTATGATCTCTCCTGACCTCTAACCTAACCCCTGACCTCTGCGCAGGGCGTCCGGTATCGTGAACCTGGCCACGGAGCGAGCCACCGGCCGGCGGGTGGCCATCAAGGACATTGACCTGACGAAGCAGCCGCGGCGCGACCTGATTCTGACGGAGATCAGGGTAATGCGTGATGTGCACCACCCGAACCTGGTCAACTTCCTGGACGCTCACCTGGTCGGCGAGCACCTCTACGTGAGTACAGAGCACGCGGAGTCTCGGAAAGTGTGTAGCAGGAAGATGTAGGCTTGGGTTACGGGTTACGTGTGTCTGCAGTCTGCACCTTTTTCACTATCAAATTAAATCTCACTAATGTGCTTACACGACTCCTGGTTTGTGTTTGCCGTCAGGTTGTAATGAAGCTGCTGGAGGGAGGTCCTCTCATCCGTCATTTTACGTCATATGATCTCACTGGTCCGTTTCTGTCGCCAGGTTGTGATGGAGCTGCTGGAGGGAGGTCCTCTCACCGACGTTGTCATGGAGACGGTACTGAAGGAGTCTCAGATCGCGGCGGTTGTCAAAGAGGTGCTGCAGGGACTGCAGTTCCTACACTCACTGGTGAGTTGTCCGAGGGATGTCTGGGGTGCAGCAGATGATGATCACTCTGCTGCGGTGAAATGGAAGTGCTGTGAGTCTAAAACACCGCATCGGATATCGAAACCGCATATTGCCTTTGAACACTAGAGCCCGATAGGAGCTGCTAGCCGATTATATCTAAAGCCTATACAATGCACTTGTGTCAAGTGACTACTGGATTGTCAAGATGCTGACAAAATTGTCTAGAGTGAAACGCTCCTCGTCGATACTTTAAAAGCTAAGATCATTGTCAAACCCTAGGTACGAATGTGTAGCCCACCCACATTGGTGGTGACGAACTGTCGTCCTGCTCCTCACAGGGTATCGTCCACCGCGACATCAAATCAGACAACATCCTGCTGGGCAAGGACGGCTCCGTGAAAATCACCGACTTCGGCTTCTGCGCCAACATCCAGGGCGACGAGAAGAGACAGACCATGGTCGGCACGCCGTACTGGATGGCGCCGGAGGTATGTGTGTTGGAGGGCCGTGAGAATGGACAGAATGTGTACCGGCGTGGGTGGCGATCGCTGCTTAATTTCTATCAGTAAATGCCTCAGCTGATATGCGCCAGATCCCTGCTTGAAGATAATAGTTGAGTAGCTATCGGATTTTAACCTGCGCCCCGTTGGGCTCTGCCGAGCAACGCGCCCGGTTATGGGGGGGGCATTTTGCCCCCCCCCCCCTAAGATCTCGAGAACCACGCAACCTAGCGACAAGGCTGCGGCAAACGGTGTTTGATAGCCCTATCAAGGAACTACCTTGTGACCCAATTTTATTGACCTAGGTCAAACCGATGACGTCACAGGTCAGGTCAAAGGTCTAATTTTCACCGTTTACAGGCATTTCAAGAAATGCGTTGTAAAATCGAGTAAAATGCTTTTCATTGAAAATCATCGATGGGGAAATGTTCTTCAAACACATATTTTGCTATTTGAGGTCACTGATACCAGGTCAGGTCACAGAGGTCAGGTCTAGTGGTGTCAATTACGGAAAATCGGAATACCAATACCAAACCAAATACGAACCAAAACCGTGGGGAAATACCGAAACCAAACCAACTTGGGAAAATGAGGGAAATACCAACTTTTTACCGATTTCTTAGCCTTTTATACATTAGTGAGGGTTCATGATACCAAAAAAATACCAAACACATTACGATTGAAATACCAAATACCAAGTTGGTATCGGTTTGGTATTGGTATACCAAAAAGTCGGTATCCGATTGACATCTCTAGGACCCAGGTCACGGGGGGGGGGGGGGGTCACAATATGAAAGTGTCGTGTGATGCATGTTTTATGGTCCATTTTACATGACAAATGCGATTATGTGGGTCAGGCAGCCTTTGGGGCCAGCTTAGGTCACGTTTTGGTCAAGGTCAGGTCAAGGTCAGGTCAAGGTCAGGTCAAATTAGGTCAAATTTCAAAGTTAATATTTTTGCATAAAATGGGTATCGAATCGATGCAGCTCGTCACAGGGAGTTCAATGGTGGTATTTGTTTTGCCGTACGTGGTCTAGAATCGCTAAAAATTGAGTTCAAAAATTAAACGTCATCATTTTTGAACAGTTTTTTCGCTATAACTTGGCCAAAAAACGAGATGTCGATCTGAAATTTGGTATGTATATAGAAGAGCGCAGGGACTATCACATATATTCCGGTTTTTTCGAAATTCCGAAAAAAATTTGGATTTTTTTTTAGTTTTTCTAAAAAAATCATTTTTTTTATTTTTTTGTCAAAAACCCAAAAGTTTGAAAATCCGAGATAGCAGTTTTGTAGCGCCACTTTTTGTCTACTAGACCATATAAAGAACTTTGAAATTGCTTGATAACTGTAGATTTGGTGAGCGTTTCAAGATTGCATGTTTTTTGCTCATTTTTGCTCGAACATGACCTCAGTTTGACCTCAATAACTCCTGACCTAAGGTGACCTAAGACTTGAAATTCGGTGTGAAGGTGTCAAATTGATGCCCGGGAAGGTACTGACAATTTGGCGCGCTGCGCGCCGCCGTTTTCTTGCTATTCAGGAAAAACCACAGGGGGGGGGCAAAATGCCCCCCCCCCCCCAACGGGGCGAGGGTTAACCCGCGCGGGGCTGGGGGGGGGTAAATTTTACCCCCCCTCGCGAATTTTTGCGATATCTCAAAAACGGCGGCGCGCAGCGCCGCCAAACTTTCAGTACCTTTTCTTACATCAATTTGACACGTTCCCTGAAAATTTGAGCGAAATCCGTCGGAAATTTTTTGAGAAATTGACGTTTTAGTGACGTCATGTTCGCCATTTTCGCCTCAAAAACGGCAAAAGTTCAAACGCCGGTAACATCTTCATTTTTAAAGGAATCAAGACGTAACAAAAAAGGTTATACGTAATTTTACTTTGTCTATCAAATGGCTATCTCGGTTTTTTTAAAATTTTGGATTTTGGCCTAAATTTTTTCAAAAAACTGACTTTTTTGGGAAAATCATTATAAAATCCAAAATTTTGAGTCTATCGAAAAAACCGGAATATATGTCAGAGAAGTGGTCTATGTGCACCTACATACCAAATTTTAGAAGAATCGGTTCAAAAATGTGGGAGTTATTCAAAATTTTATGACGTCACGACACACAAAATTTTTGAAAAATGACTTTTTTGGAAGTTCTAGACCTCGTACGGAAACAAAAATAGCACCATTCGATTCGCCGTGAAAAACTGCATCAGATAGACACCTTTTTAGGCCTTAACAACCAACTTCAAAATTTGACCTCACTTGACCTGACCTTGACCTGACCTCGACCTGAAATTCATCCACAGGTGGTCCATATCACTTATTGAGTGTGCCTATTGAATTCTATGAGTAAAATGACCCATAAAACATGTGTCGCACATGCCCTTTTCTATATTTTGTTTTTTGGTGACCTGACCTGACCTGACCTGACCTTGACCTTGACCTCTGAATGATATTGTATGCAACGAATATTGTCTTGGTAGCCTAAGAACACGTTTTGGGCAACCAGTCTCAGTCCATGACTCCATTCTTCGGCAACTACGGTGCAAGGCCGATACTGTAGAAACTTGCAATTTGTACCCTTGACCTGACCTTGACCTTGACCTCAAACTTTAAATTAAGTACATGTTTTTAGTAGTTCGTGATGAGAGCTTTCGATTGGCGTTTGAAATTTCCAAATCGGACCATTAGTTCGGGAGATAACAGGGGGGGTAAAATTTACCCCCCCCCCAGCCCCGCGCGTTCGGCTGGAGACCCCAGCCCCGCGCGGGTTAAGATAATAATGTATGTTTATTCGGTTCTGTAACTTTTGGAGTTGAGCATACGTAATGCGTATAATCACTTTCCTCCCTTGGAATAGATTCGCCATCTTTTTTTAAAGTTAGTGAAGCTCGCGTGACTTTTGCCATGTGTTCCGGCCCTAGGTTGCCCGTTTCTGGAGCACCCATCCCCTCCCTATCGATGGCTTTGGCCGCGGTTTAATGTTGATCAGGACCTGATATGTTCAGTGGGTGGAGCTGGAGCGTGCTAGCTGCCGCCGACGGACTGTAAAAACGTCAGCACATCAGATGTGGTTAGGTGTAATCAGATTGCCTGCTCTGTCAGCCGTGTTCGGTGTGAGTGGTCTGATTCTCTGGGTTTCTGAGCCACGCTGACCTGTGGCCGTCCCTCTCCTCCCGTCTCGCAGGTGGTGACGCGTAAAAAGTACGGCAAGAAGGTGGACATCTGGTCGCTGGGAATCATGGCCATTGAGATGATCACTGGCGAGCCGCCCTACCTGAACGAGGCGCCTCTGCGAGCGCTCTACCTGATCGCCACGCACGGCAAGCCCGAGATCAGCGCCGAGTATACGGTCTCAGACCTGTTCAGGGTGAGTAGGACACTGGCGGTAAACCCTCCCCTCCCCCTCCCCAAGATCAGCGCCGTGTACACGGTCTCAGACCTGTTCAGGGTGAGTATCGCACGCTCAGCCAGGATAACTGGCAGACCCCCCCCCCCCCCCCGAGATCAGCTCCGGGTACACGGCCTCAGACCCGTTCAGGGTGAGTAGCTATCACTCAGCCGGGAAAAAATGGCAGTGCAGCAGTGCTTGTGGCTTTTTTAAGAGTCGCACTCTGTTCCGAGTGCAATTTCGTTAGTAGAGGGTCGCGCGTGGCAATGAGTGAATGGATTGTAATTGCCAGGTAGGCCACAAACGTTTTCGCCAATACCCAACTCTCATGAATAGCTTTTATTTATAACATCGGCCACGGATATTCCTTCGTTACACCAGTTCCTTGTGGACGGCAGACAACATTAGGAGTACATCAGGACATAAAGCCGTCTCCGCGTGGACGATAGGTTGTTCGTCTCGTGTGGACATTTATCGGGTCTTTATGGGCGGTAGACCGTCTGTGGATTGTCGGCCGTGGACGTTGGCCGTCTCTGTGCGGGCGGTGACAACGGCCGGTCGCTGGTTCCGCCGTGCCCGCCGGCTGATCTGCTTACGGCGGCGCCGGCCGGCTTATGACGCCGGCGGCGACAGGAAAGCTACCGCCACCGGCCGCAGACACGTCATACAAACACCCGAGCTCACCGCGCGCTGGGTGGGGCACAGTTCCGTGCGTGCAGCTGGGAGGGGGAGGGGAGGACAGGAACACGGGGGGAGATGCTCCGGAAGGGGACAGCCGAGTGGACGTCAAGTACAGGTGGTGTGACATCAGCGCTGTCTGTGGTTTGTTAGGTGGTTGCAGACCTCGTCCTGCTTGTGGGAGCATTGGCCGCTAAAACATCGATTGGCGTATCATTGCTTCTAATGAGTCAGCTGCGTTGGTTCGGGTGTGTCGTAACACTTATGCCAATCAACTTTGCCCTATTTTCTCTACACACATAACTGCCTCACACAATTTCATTGGTGTTCGTGCAGAGGTCACGTCGACAGTCGACTGCAAGAGAACTAGCGCTTCTGTCGGGGGCCGGGGCTGGCGCCCGCTATCGTTTCCCGTTCGTGCAGCAGCCGCCTCCCTCTCCTTTCGTTATCGATCAGAGGTCGGGCTGCCAGGCGGGCCGGCCGGGACCGGGTGTCTGGGTAGGATCGGCCGGCCGAGCGGCCGCCGGTGGTGGCGCCTGTGTTGATGTCGTGACTCCGTGCTGGGACACGAACAGGAAAAACACGGTCAAAGTCGGCCGACACTCTCAGAGAACGAGCTGGCTTGTCACCGACACAGGGTCTGACACACAGACAGGTACTGACGCAGGACTGACACGGTGACACAGACGCAGGACTGACACGGAGCCTTACACCGTTGGGCCATACACCGGGCTGTGACGATGCGTCATGTAGGATTTCTTACTCCATCTACCCGCTACCGAACGGCGAACAATATCTTTGTTTCCAGAGGCTGAAACGAGCAGCTACCGTGCCTATGTGGCCCGTTTAGCTGTGTTTACGTCCGCAGAAGTTGGCGGTCGATCGGCGGGGTAGCGGAGAGATGGCTGGATCCCGTAACTGGGTCGCTGATCGATGAGTCACCTTCCTTTGTAGCGGCCCCAGTCCGTCGGAGGGTGTCCCCTCCCTCCTCCGGGGTTCGTCACGGGAGCGGGGTCCGTCGGGCGCCCGCCCGGCCTGCTAACAGTATCTCGGCTGGGGGCCGGACGGAGTTGAGCGAGCCCCCAGCGGGGCGGGCGCAGTTCTGCGGACTTTTGATCCGAGTCGGCTGTCAAACTGAGAAGTTAGCTGACGTGGGAAGACGGTTTCATACGGGCGGCTGGACTGGGCGGGTGGAAATCGGCCACGGCCGTCGGCCCGTGCAGCAGCTCTGCAGCTGGATTAGTGAGCGATCTCTCATATCTTTTTATCATCGCTCGGCTGTTTCTCCACGCTGCACGCTGAATATGTCAAGCAGCTGTCCAGCGCTGTCATATGAGGAATGTCGAATCACAGAAGTGTCTCAGCGAGAGCTGAACATTTACAGCACACTGCACAGCTGAACCCTCCGAGGCTAGTGTAATGTGTTTAGTCTGGACATTGTGTGGATTGTAGATTGTTTTAGTGATTCTGTAAATTTCAGCGACGCATTGACGCCTCGCTTACATTGCTATCTGCTGCAACTTGCAATGATTGCTCGTGAATATTGGCTGGCTGTGTATTTTGGCGGTACTGATGTAACACCGACACCGCCCTGGACTGAATCACGAGCTGTTCGTTGCGCTGTGACTGACACTGCCATCCCTGCTCTGTTGCAGAGTTTTCTGGACGCGTGTCTGGAGGTGGAGGTCGATAACCGGGCCTCTGCCGAGGACCTGCTCGCCCACTCCTTCCTCACCATCGCCGGAGACGTGTCGGCGCTCAAGAAGAACATCACCGCCGCGCAAAAGATCAAAATGAAGCAGATCTAGTCTGGCGCTGGCCGGCCGCGGCGGCGGCGTCTCTCCAATCAGGGACTGCGAGATCTACCAGTGGAGTCGGCTGCGGCGGGCGGGCAGACGGACCGAGCGGCCGGCGCGCGCCCAGGACAGTGCCGCGTGGCGCCGCGTGCCGTGACAGTGACGACGCCGTGGCGTCACACCCTGTGTATGTGCGAGTGGTGCCGCGGAGTGCCCGGCGACCTGCGCTGGTGGCGGACAGTGCCCACAGATTGCCTACAGCCTAGTCCAGCGGATCCTGACGTCCAAGGGACCACAACGATTATGTGCGCTACTATTTTGGAGTACGTATGCTTTGCGAGCGACAGAACGGAGCGCTACCGTGTGATATCAGTGAGAGAGGCGCAGCGCGCGCCCAGTTCAGTGTTTTGTCTAGTTTAGCCGACCGTCGGGCGCGCCTGTGACAATGCTCAACGGAAGCCGGGCTGCTCGCGAAGCGCGCTGACCGGAAGTGGGGCTGGCCGGAGCCGTGAGCACTTCCGTCGGGAGATGGCTGCACGGAGCGGGCCCCCGCGGTTCACCGGCCGAGGGGCCCACTCCACCCGACTGGCCGGCCGGCTCCCCGCCGCAGCCATGTGCATTAGCGCTTCCCGACGCCCGGCGGCGCACATTTTTTAGGCCGTTTTGACCGGTGCTTGTGTTGTGTTTCGTATCTCTGTGACGGGCCGAGCGGCTGATCAGTCAATCATCGTCCCTCATTACGGCGGGCCGTCCGCCGTCCACAGCGGCGAAACGGTGCGGCATTGTATGCTCATGTATGGGGCGAGGCCGGGCCGGTCCGCCCCGCCCCCGTGCGGGGCCGATGTGGGGCCGCCCGGACCCGCCGAGCTTGATTTTGTGATCGCTAGTGATTACAGTCTTGTACTTTGAATACTGGTGAGATAGCTTTGTACTTAAAGACATGTAAGCAATACATGATTGATTTTATGGTCACGGTTTTTACGTCACTGGGCTTCTGAGTTACGTCCATCTGGAATTAGAAATGGAATCAAGTAGCCGGTTTGTAGAACACGGGACTTACGCTGGTGGGAGCCTCTGTTAGAGTCACTTCGACGATTCATAACTCCTGGCGGGGTTGGTGGGAATGTCTGGTCGAGTGAAACGGACCTTGCTCGGCTGTGAAGGAACGCGCACGGACAGGATCCACACCTATCAAACCCAAACAAAGGACCGGCGCCGGGGCCCGGTCGGCGGCCGGGCGTCTCTTGTCGTTTAACGGTTCAGCAGTGACCAGTTTGTCTGGCGGGTCGTGGAGCCCCGGTCCAACGGTCCTACCGCCCCATCCGAACCTCTGCACGGTATGGGTCACTGGTGTCCAGCCCAAGATGACTTGTCCAGCTATCCGCTGGTGACCCGGATGACCCGGACCCTGCTGGTATTGTAAATGATAAAAAGTAGAATAAAAATGAAAAAAGCAATAAAAAGATAAAATATAAAATCAGGAAAAAAAGAACGCTAGATGGGCTCTACAAACTAGCATCTTCACCGATTACACAATATACGGTGTTGCATTACACACAGGCCGGAATTAACAACCACGCTAAGGTCAACATATTCCAGCCACAGTCACACATCAAACAATTGGCTAAGACTTTAACTTATATTTAAATGGCTCTCGATCATCGTATACAAAGCACTTTAAAATAACAAAATACGAAGTGCGAGACTGATAAAATTCATCTAAGAAGCGGGAACTGAAGCGGTCGCTCGCGCTGCGTGTTATCGGGGCGCCGCGCCGGCGGCGGCCCGTCTCACAGTCTCGCTGTCTGCGGTGGTACAACTCGGGGTCCGTCTCTCAGCAGTCTCACTCGCGCGGAGTCCGCGCCGTGACTCCGCCGGTGACTCTGACTCGGCGCTCGCCGGACTGACTCGGCCGCTCTCCATCTCTCGGTAAAACTCTGCCGGCGTTCGGTCCGAGCCGTCGGACCGGGCCGGTCCAGCGCCCGGCCCAGCGGTAAAACGTCACACACTCGCACACAATTACACAGTCCACTCGCGCTCACAGTCGCCCTCACAGTCGCTCCCTCATCACAGGCCGTCGGCCACTGTCGACTCGTAAACCTGCTGGAACACATCAGCCTCCTCGGCCGGCTGCGGCTGCTGCGGCTCCGGACTCGGCTCCCGCGCCGGCTCCGGACTGGGCTCCCGCGCCGGCTCCGGGCTCGGCTCCCGCTCCGGCTGCGGGCTCTGCTCCCGCTCCGGCTCCGGGCTGTGGGCTCCGTTGGTGTCCGGCAGGCTGGAGGAGCCGTTGGTGTCGGCTGGTTCGTCGGCCGGCCGCGGGGAGGCGCTGCCGGCGCCCGTCCGCTCGCCGGTCTGCTCGTTGTGACTGACCACGCCGCTCCAGTGCTTGGCACGAGACTCCAGACCGAAACCCTCGTCGTAGTTGCCCTTGGTCTTGAACATCTGCTTGAAGTGCGGCGTGCAAAATAGTTTCCCTGCATTGAAAGTGTAGGTATCCATTCTGCAATGAAAGCATGACAAATTAGATGCGATTGAACCTGGCGCAATTCATAGGCATCAATTCCTAGCATTATCACAAGCACCTTCAGTTCTCATCTCACAGGTAAAAATATCATCACAACTAGGGCCTTGGGCACCACGGTTTAGCAGTTCTCGCCCTAAGCGCGGCCGGGATCCCAAGCTCACCTGAGCACGCAGTTGCACTTGGAGCACCGGAAGCAGTTCTTGTGCAGGATTCGTTTGTCGACCTCGAGTCGCTCCATGGCGTACACACGCTTATTGCAGGCGCCGCACATCTCAGCCGCCTGGGTCGGCTCCAGCTGGCAGACAGGAGGCGGGTCAGGTCAACGGCTACCTCACACGCGCGTGGGTCTTACTAACGGCTCATGTTAGTAGGTAATGACAGAGTCGGAGCGACTTTGTCAAATCAGTCATTGCTTAACCTGCTGACTCCGTCCAAAAACCACCGGACATCTACCTAACAGGGGCCGTGTTTGTCTACACTCTACACAATCAGCTAACACTGGGCTGTTCAAATGGGCATGACGTCAATCGAATTCCGGACAGATACTCATGATCCAGCAACAAGATCATGACGAGTGCGCCCGAGCTGACTGGCCGCTCCCCTCGTGATGTTTCTTAATTATGACCTTTTCACTCCTGTGACCTCTCCACCCTTTTTCACCCATTTGACGTACAGCACCGGGCGCCCCTCCCCGTCCAAAAGGTCCAAGTTACTCACGATGAACTTGCTGGTGCGGTGCTGCGTCTGTGGCTGCGGCTTCGGCTGCTCCTTGAGCGACTCGAACTTGGAGCGCAGGTTCCTGGTGATCTCCGGAGTGGGCTTGCAGTCTTCCTCCACCGTGAAGCCGCGCTCGGCCGGCGGCGACCAGCTCTCGAACTTCTCCCGCAGGCTGCGAGCCTGGTCGGTTTTCTGGCGGACGGCAGAGGACACGGGTCAGTCAGCGGACTCAGATGGCGATTCAGTCCAGACTCAGTCAGAGGACTGGCAGTCCTGTAATCAGGTGGCGACCAGAAAACGCCATCACGTCACTCGGCTTAGGAGTACGTTTGGCTCAGCGAGCAAGTAAAGACACCACACACTCACTCACACCGGCCGTACCATATCTGCGACCTGCGTCCGGTCCGCCGCGCTCACGCTGCTCACTCTGCCGTACTACTGGCGACAGACCGGCCACCACCTCCCTATATCGTACCGACACGGCATTTCGACCTCCCTGGCATTGCGTCATCTATCCTCTTATAACCGCTTCACAGGAAGGTCACGCACCGCGCGATCCGTTGCCAGATGGGTCGGTGATGCCAGATCGGTCGCCACGTCACCGCGCTCGCGCCGCCCGGTATGAGATTCTCCGCCTGCCATTCCTGGCAGACCCCGCCCCGTTCCGTCCTGTCCCACTCCCGTCTAAAACCCCTACCTTGTTCAGGAACTCGTCGGGCACCTTGGAGCTGGCCCGGACGATGTCGGGGTCCTCCTCGGGCTCCATGTCCTCTCCGGCGTCCTCGGGGTCCTCTGAGGACGGTACCGGTTCCTCCGGCGGCGGGGTGAACGATTTGAGCGGCCGCGGGCCTGTCCGACCGCACCCGGGCACACGTCAGAGCCAACTGACCAACCGACCGATAGAGGTAGACACGAAATGCACCTCTTCAGCGCAATCACACAGGGTTTATCGCGTGCACCGGCGGCACATGAAGTGCTTTATCGATCAATTATGCCAACAAAGAACAATCACTGCTGTTGTTTAGATAAGCGAAGCGTGTGTCACAGCCACTTTTAACATCGCTAACGGGGATTGGCCCGAACGCGCATTTCACTTGAGTTCGAGTGTTGCATTACGATAACTGCGGCTATTTGACCCTATCTGTGCAGAGTGGGCGGTCACAACTGAACCCCCGATGAGCCTGGCTGTCTGTGAGGGGCGGAGGGGGACGGGGAATGGGGTGGGGGAGCACGAACGAGTCTCGGGACCTCACCGTCGGGCAGGTCCTCCCGCTGCGCCGCCTCCTGCATCTGCCGGTACTTGGAGAGCATTTGGCGCGCGTTGCCCTGCGGCCGCTCGCGCTGCGGACTCAGCTCCCCGTGCGCGGCTGCTGACGTCACACGCACAGCAACCAATCAGAAACGAGCTAACACAACGGGAGACCGTGCCGCGACAAAGCCAGGCGCACAGGACACAGGCAGGCAGTTTAGGGAGGCTGAAGCAGCCTGACTTCAGTAGCAATCAGCTCTAGCGCGGACCGGATCGTGCCGCTAAAACACAGCTAACAAAACACCGCGAGTTTGACTGTAGAACAGACCATGATCAGCAACTGATAAATACAGCGATACGAGGCCAAGCACTGGTGATCTACGGACTGAACTGCCGGTTCCACTCCGGTTAGTGAGTGCGCAGTCTGTACGATTAACTAACGGTAGGGTGCAGGGTGCGGGCTACATATAGAAATTGATCAGACAAAGCTAACTAAATGAAACGAATGTAGAGAGGCCTAGCGGCCTTTTTGAGCTCCCGCAACGGCTTCGGAGCAACTTTACTCTTTCTGTTCTGTAGTCCAATGAAGGCTTGAATGCGCTCCTGAACCGTTTTCGCTTCGTTTTCTTTTTCTGCATTGAAAAAGTCAACCAACTGTCTTACTATTCGCGATGACTCGTTTTCGAGGATGGGATTGGAGTGGCTAATGCTTAGTGTCATCCTCAAGATAAACAAGAAAATCCAACCGTGTGCTCACACTCTGATAAGTGGTTGCAAACAACACACAATAAAGCCGAACACACACTACATAAGCAAAATAAACACGTCTGCCTAACCCTTATATCTACCCGTTCAAACTCGGATACCGGTACCGCCTCGATAGTAGGAACCAATGGCATGGGCCAGGATCAGGATCAAGATGATAAGATGAGAAATAGCAAGAGGACGTGAGTCGAGAGCCGAGAGCCAGAGTGGCCGGACTTCAGGGTGGAGATTCGGATAGAGAGTTTAGAAGTCTCGGATATGGATAGGGTTACCATCGTACCCTCGTTGGCGTGGCGAGGCCAGGGATGAGGGTCGAGGCCAGAGTCAGGTCAGAGATCAGGAAGGTCAGGGCCGAGCTCAGAGTTAGGACCACGGGACACGGTCAGCACCGTACCTTCGTCGCCGTGCCCGGCGTTCTGCTCGAGCTGTTTGAACTTGTTCAGCATCCGCTTGGTGGTGTCACTGTTCAGCAGCTCAGGGTCGGCCGCCGGGGCGGGGGCGGGGGCGGGGGCGGCCGGCTGCTCGGGCGACTCCACCTGCCGAGGTCAGGTCAGGTCAGGTCAGTTCAGGCCAGGCTGTGACAAAAAAGGACACACAATATGTTGTTATTCACAGGGAAGCATCGAACCTTACAAACTATGCAAGACACTCAACCCTAACGGAGACAAATCACTTCACATACTTGGCCGATGTCCAGCCCACGCCACTGTCAATAGAGCGCGCCAAATGCGGTCAATAAGGATCTCGCTCGACCGGACAGGATACGGTTCGTTGAGCGAACAGGCCCGACACAGCACGGCGGCACTGAGAGCCGGCCATAGAACGGACGAACGGACGCCGCCGAGATAGGCTGCGGGTTCGAGCCGGGAGTTGGCGTCGGGTGTTGCACTGGGGTTATGTACAGACCGGGGAGGGGGAGAATGCACGAGCGATACGAGCGGGTGCTGAAACGTCATCTGGTGAGAGGAGTGTTCACAAACAGTCGGCTGTGGTACGTGGGTCCCTGACAGAGACCACAGGCCCTGTTCTTCAGCGTGGTAAAACAATGTAAAAAGTAGGAGAGCAGATTCTCAAAGGTGTGCCGAACTCGAGCTAAGACTCAATTACTTAATCCAGTGGCGAGTCGTGCTTATTGCTATTTACAAACATCTCAGAAATGTGAATTGTGTACACGTGACGTTTATATTCAGCTCTTCAGTCCTCTGTGGTGCCCCGTGTGTCAGTGTGCTGGAAATAGCAGCTAGAGGTAGTGAGGCTGAGCAGCACTAGCGGTGCTCTATCGGCTGGCCAGGCAGATAGGCGAGCGGCAGCCCCAGCAGTACCGGAGTGGCCGCAGCTCCGACCTTGGTTCGCGGCACGGCCGGCCGGCCCGCCGGCAGTCGCAGTGAGCGGGTGCGGCGCGGCTCCTGAGGACAGCGCAGCGCCTCGAAGAACTGGAACCGGGCCGCGATGGCCGAGGTGGCGGCCGGCGGCGCGCGGGGGACGCCCCAGGCCGGCCGGGCGGCCGCCGGGGCCCGGACCCGCTGCACGCTCTGTAAGGACGGCGGCGGTGAGGAGCACGGACGGGAGAGAGGAGGGAGGGAGGTGGCTGGGACAGGAGAGGTGAAGAGAGGTAAGAGAACGGAAATGAGGGAAATTGCCAGTAGACGCTGGACAAGGAGTGAGTGAAACAGATGCAAGGCTGGAGGAAAGGGAGGGAAAATAAGGATAGGATAGCCCGACATCGTCGGAGGAAGAGAAGGATGGGAAGAGAAAGTCTTCGGATAACAAGATATATTTCTATTTACAGGATTCTTGGGAACAAGGAAATAGACACCTTGGCCTTCGTGAATGGCGAATACAAGGAAATTGAATCTCAAGTCATTAAAATAACGAGGCAAGCCATTAAAATGACAGGATGAATGTAGTGGGAATCAAGGTCTCGAAATTGTCATGAAGTCTGCGGTTGGCCTGGCATTAGACAAAGCTCGGGCCAGTCGTTCAACCTGATACCACCCAAACACCAGTACCAATATCACTATCACCAACCATGCTCGGCGGTCCCCTTACGGTCAGTCAGGTCGCTGAGGTCACAGTGAGGTCACAGTGAGGTCAGAGCGGGGTCAAACTGACACCATTCCCAAGCACTCACCCGAGCCACCTCTCCGGAGCCGGTGTCGGAGGTCGGGCTGGTATCGGCCGCACCGCTCAGGTCCTCGGAGGTCGAGACGCCTGCCGACATCGCCGGGTCACAGGTCAGACGAGGTCAGAGGTCACACCCGTTCACACAGCCGGTCCAGCGGCACTGAGCGGCGGCGACACAGCCAGTGCGGCGTCACAGCACACTCACCGGCCAGCCCCGGCTATCGAGACATCACACGGGCAGGCCCAGCGAATTTACAACGGATTTAGATAGCGAGCATAGTTTGAATGGCGGCAGAGTCAACAGGGATATCAGATGTGTGACTGTGTCAGCCAACAGCGGACACGCCAGTGCCTACACGGGCTTAGAGCCGAACACCATGGGATTAGAGCCTCCGAGCCGAGTGTGTTTAGTCAGGGCCATTCTCGTTTTATGAATCTTCACGGACCATAGAACGAGGCAAACCACAGCTGAAGGCAATCATCGCGCCTTCCTAACAAGGGAAAACAGAGCTGGCGCATCAGAAGGTAAATCATAATGTGTCCTGTTCCCACAGCATACACTCGGCAGTCAACAGCCTCACTGGCATGTCCGTCTTAGTTTCGTCATAATTTCCTGCTCGGCATGGAATCACACACCGGGGTAAGCGGTCATCGTCCAGTATCACCGTATGTACACCAGCCGAGCGCTCGAGGGTTGTTCGTTCCACAATCTACATACTCCAGCATTTGCCCTACTTCCCTCATAACTCTCCCCTTCGTTCTCGCCCACCTACGATCAACATTGTTCGCAAAGCTCCAAAGCAACGCCCTCGCCCGACGCCCACCCCACAGCCCGCTGCCGTACCGTTCTGGGTAGCTCCGTCGCCATTCGTAGCTCCGTCGCCATTCTCGGTCTCCAGCTGTCCTCGCTCGAAGCGTGAGGCCATGTCGGCCGCCCGGCCGCGCACCGCGGCCTCCTCCCGGGACGAGGGCCGCGGAGACTCGGCCTCCTGCACCGCCCGCTCGTACGACTCACGTAGGTTACCCTGCGGCCGGACAACATACGTTAGTACACCGCCAGTCAGTCGATAAGTACGGCAAGCACGTCCGTATACGGTAATACAGATGAGCAATGTCACAGATGACATTATGGGGTAAACATTGGACAACAGCGATGTCAGCATAAGAAGCAACAGGGGCAATCCAACGTCATTCACTCGCAAAAATCCACGAACAGCATATAACATTACGAAACAGTGACACATTTGATCACATTTCAGAGTAAAATCAAGAAAAATAACCTCACGGGAAAACCTTAATAATGATTTCAACTTAACGTGGAAGGTGCGAGAATAATACAAACCAAGAGCAGGAACGCGAAGAAAAATACACTGAAATTGTGCGAGGTAAATACATGCAAGGTCATGTATTTATTTGCATGTATTGCCCGATGTCAATACATGCAAAATCATATTACCAAACAAGACCGTTTCGTACTTCACCAGACCAGCAGAGCGGTGCCGCATGCAGCGAAGTAAACCTTACCGGTCTCACCCGCACGCAGTACTCACAAAGTCGCGCGGATGCCAGCACGGCCGTCACCACTGGGATCCGTGCACTGCGGTGTCTACCTGGTTAGGACGGACGGGGACGGGATACGACTCTACCCGTGCGGACCGGCCTCCCCGCACCTCAGCCCACCGGTCACAGCTGACTCAGACTGCACACTGACTGACCGACACCCGTCCGCCCCCGCCGACTGGCCGGGCCCGTGTCACACCAGTGAAGCCACAAACCTACCGCTCTGAGAACGACCGACCGACTGACTAACGACCGGTCAGGCCCGCTTCATAGCAGTGACACCACAAACCTACCGCCCTGGGAACTGGCCGGACGCCCGACAGGAAGGATGACCACCCCGCGTCTAGCGCCGCCCGTTAGAGCGGTGATTTCCTGGTAAACCGCGATACACCCTGCCCCTTCGTCCGGTCCGGCGATGTGTTTTGAGGAGAGCATGGATAACCACAAACCATTGCAACTTCAGTAAGACTCCCAAAAGAACACGGGTCAATAATATCGCCCTGGGCAAGTTGTCCTCCGAGCCCCACCCGCTCAACCGACCGACTGATACTCAGTGGAGCCATCGCCTGGCTCCACTGAGTATCAGCCACAATGAGTAGGTATCAGAACAGGCGGCGGCTACGGCAGCGTGTTAGGGTAGGGGAGGGGACGTAGCCGGTCCGCGCCCCCGCCCTGTCTGACAGGTACCGCAGGTGTGCCGTGTCGCCGGAACTACCGACACTTGTCGCTGCCAGTGGTGACTCAGACAGGGGTGACGGGGTGTCATCCACGCCGACCTATGACTGTGGTGACAGCGGGACCCTCGTGACGGCGGAGTGACGCGTCAGATAGATTCCGGGAGACCCGCGTCCCAGTACCGGATAGCTGCTACACGGAATGGGCCACTGATAGCCAGCGTTCGGCGGAATAGGACGGAATGAGAGAATGCTGAACCGCTTGGCACAGACCGCAGAGCCACTCGGCTGACACGGTTTCCTCGTAACTGTCACAGCCGAAAGCTAATCGCACTGGTAATTAACAGCTCCAAATCGGCACCCCTGTCCTCCGATTTTATCACAAATGATAACAGAGCTCGTCGCACAGCGTTTAAGGAAGTCATTCTCCTTTTGACAGGCTGACTCATTGAGCAAGAAACTCTATAAACTTCCGCCAATTCTACCTTCCTTCCGAGGTGGGGGCACGACTGCATCCACCAACGGAAAACACTCATCGGCTTAAAACCAACCATGGCGTCACGCTACTCTTTCAACCATTTCTCGTTTTCGTCAACCCTCCCTTTCGTACACCATGCCAGAAACCCTACTCTCTCGACGTAACAAGCCCCCCGCGACCCACCACCGCCGTCCACCGTTGCCCGGTACCCCATGCGGCACCCGACGACACTGTACTACCTGGATGACGAGGCTCGGGTCGTCCCTGGGCCGGCGCGCCGCCTCGGCCTCCGCCTCCCGTCCACGCAGCGCCTCCTCATAGGCCAGTTTGTGCTCGCGCGCCTACCGGGATCGTCGGGTGTAGGGGGGGGGGAGAGGTTAGAGGAGGGCGGTGCAGAGGGCACAGGGAGAGGGACATGGTCGAGGAGAGAGGAGAGATGGGGAGGTAGAATTCGAAGTCACAGGGAGAGTAGGTCATGAGGGAACATAAGTATCGGAAGGAGTTGGGGTGATGGAAGGGCGAAGAAGCATGCATTCACCGATATAGACTACAGACTCAGCTATAGGCCGTGCCACAAAGGAGGGCCTCACAAACGGCGCGTGCAGACGTGCGAAGACGACGCACGAACAGACGGACAAAATCACTATGTGAAATAAAGCATACACATTACACACTTGACGGATCGGGCATTTATCGAGCTACGCTACAGCAAAAGAGACATCTAAGGCTGCGATCACTGCCCTCGCTACCATACGCTTGATACTGTCGCTCTGTTTGCTATCCAAAGAGCTTGGCTAGAACTACCATCTCATTTCAGCAGCAACTACTCCTCTCTCGTCTACCTCCACGCCGCACGGTCACGGCAGGCCGACTGTGGCGCCCCTGGCGGCCGCCGCCGGTACTCACGCCGCAGATCATTCCGCGCAGCTTGGCTGCCTCGCCCTTTGCCGGGTCTGGGTCAGAGTCGCTGGTGGCACCGCCCCGCTCGAAGCGGCTCTTGACGTCGCCCAGTCCGGCCAGCCCGATGGGCCGCTCCTTCTTGGTGGAGGAGCGCACCGTGTCTCGGTCTCGTCCCTCGTCCCCGGAGTCTTCGGACTCCTCCGGAGAGGCCGTCTCCCGCGCCGCCGTCCGGTCGAACCTGGCGGCAGAGGGAAGAACTAATGATACCCGCCGGCGCCGACAGGGAATGGGGAACATATCGGCACTAGCAAAACAGTGAGAAGGATGGGGTCGAGGAAGAGTTTTTTTTTCGGCCAGATTTTTATCATTGTTAGCTTAACTCTCCTTACTCTATCCAGACAATCTGTAGATATCAATGCAATTTGGGATTGGGCTAATTTGGCAAGGTGGGCAGACATTTAGATGTTAATGGAAGGCTCCATTAAGTGACTGATAAACCAGATTATCCATTAGTAATTGCACTCTGCATTACTGGACGACAGAGTGGTGACCGACAACGATTCCGATGGGCGAACTCACTTTTTCATTTTGTCCAGGATGCTCTGGGAGCGTTTGACCTCGACCGAGGTAGGCGTCTTCTCCAGCTCGTCGCTGTTGGCGCGCTCGAACACGGAGAAGCGGTCCTTCACGTTCAGGTGCTGCAGCTCGTCCAGACCGTAGTCGGCCTTGTTCGAGGCTGAAAGCAGACAAATGACAAACGTCAGCCCACACACCGTGAGACAGCCCACTAAATTCCATCAACATGAAACGTTTTGTCCCCACAAATTAATATTCGGCAGTAAAAAAGTTGTCGAAAGGTCTGAACTAAATTAACGAGCACGTATGGAGCCGTCGCGGCGAGGCACCGCTCGCCACATCTCCACACAACTTCCAAACGGCCTCGGCGCACGCCGGGCTCGTCAGGCCGTCAGAGCCGTCAGAGGCGCAGATTGTCTCCCAAATTAGGGCCGCGCCGCGCCCGACGGACTCGAAGGCAGCCACTCAGCCGGGACAGCGCCGCTCCGTCGGCCGCGCGACCCGGCGTGACCTGCGTGAGGCCCGGGCGGGGGTCGTGGGGGGCACCTGGCACGGGTGGTACCGGTCGGAACCGGCCCCCACCCACCAGTCCCACCACAGCCCGCCCGACTCCATATCTCACGGCTCGTCGGGTCGACCTCACGGCTCGCCAGCCGCCGCCGCAGTTGGGACTGACGGGGACGTCTCCCGCAGACATGGCGCTCCAACTTTAATGAGTCGGTGTCGGCGCCGCCCCAGCACCAGATGACTTTTGCAACACAATGCAGGCGCGGTGATGAGGGACGGCAACCAAGCGGGACGGGGCCGAGTGACACAGAGACGACAGCGCCCCGGAAGTCGGAACAAATGGCACCTCTCAGTTATTCGGCTGCTGGAGAAATACGCTGTTTTATGTGTATTACGGTGACGTAGTTATTCTCCTCTACACCCCCTCTCGAAGACCGCTCGTTCGGTTGCAGGGTTCTAAATTACCAGCCGAAAACCGAGTACAACGGCAGACTGAGATAAATAGCATGTCGGCGGGCCCAGCCGATCACATTCCGATCAAGCTGCCTCTGGCTGCATCTACAGGAAATAGGTAGATATGGAATGGGTAAGACCGAGGTCGTGGGTATAGGGAGCAGGGGCGGCACCCAAAACTCGGTCAACAACACTAAGGATAAATGCAGCTATTCTAAGGAGAGCGCTGCGCTGTGGCGTGCCGTTAAAAGAGGAGTCGCGGGAGAATGTGGGCCACACGCCACGCACGAACTCAGGTAGGAGGACGTGAATAATTAAACACTAATCAGGCTCACGCGTCCCGGCTGACACGTCATTATAAAGCTCTGACTGACTCAATCTTGAGACAGTTAGGGCAATAGACCAGATAAATAAGACCACAGCACGGTATCATCGGTTCACACCAGCTCTTCTATTGATACTCCGGATCGCTTTTCACGGCCACAAAGGGCGTTATGGAGGCGCTGCTGAGTGCTTCTAAATTAAACCGAACCAGCACATTCCGCACACCTGCTAGGTAGCACCCGGGCGCAGAAAGCGAAACACCGCCGGCACCTAAAATTGTGCGCGCAGCTGCCTCCCCAGGAGGCGATATCGGAGAGCTATACCTAGCAGCTGGTCCTCGGCTGGCGCTCCCATAACGCGCGGCCAACTATAAGCCGCAGTGAAAACAATGTCATGAAAAGTTATCTCACATTTATGAGGGCTTCCGTTTCACTGTCAGGCATATCTTTCTACAATGATTCTATCCAGACGTGCACCGTGAAAGCGTAAACCACAGATGCTGTCTCGAATATCGTACAAGTGGGCTAATTAACGATAGACCTACCGATTTTCGTATTTATAAAACAAGCGATAGCTCCGCTACTTTCAACCATCGTCACACGGACACGGGCAGCCAATGGGGAAAGGGGGTATGAGAGTCGACCCGACCGGAAGACCCGATTTTTAACATTACGCCTTGGCGTCGCATGATAAGCAAAGGAGCGCCCGACCATTCATTTTGACGGTTGAACCTCCTTTCAGTCCTCGGTGGGCGCGGCAGAAAACGGCTACCCAACCCGAGCTGGTCTGCTTGGCCACTTCGCACAACCACTGACACGGCTCATCAAAGGAAAAGGTCCCAGTCGACACATATGAACTTAACTTCCCATATCGAGGAGTTAGCCTGGCTTCAGCAACCTTACACCTTCCAGCATAATAGCAGCGCGTCGGAGCACTCCCCACTCTTCCCTGCTCTGCTCTGCCGGGAGCGGAGCCGGCGGTCGGGCTGGGACAGCGGTGGAGGCTGGGACGGCGGCGTGCCACCGCAGCCCGAGCGGTTTACCCACAGCGCCGGCCGCAGCCCGCCATCTGCTCGCGCCTCACGGGAGCCGTGTATGAGCTCCGGCGGCCGGACCGGACCGACGCCAGCCGAGCCACTGTTGCAGGTACTCAGACGGCGGCAGATGCGCCACTGTGTGCGCCACTAACGGAGCAGCAGCTGGCGCCGCCGGGCGCTGCAGTCACCGTGGACCGTGTCCAACGAGCGACACCGCGAGCACCACCGCCGGTCCAGATACACGCACAAAGCAAGGGGATATTCATTTACCGTGATCGCACGCGTATCCATCGCAAAGGTTATATCATCAATCATTATCAACCATGTGCCGTGCTGATCAGAATCATGCAGAGTCGAGGAGGACGCCTATCGTAACTGGTCACGACACTGACTGACGGCTGTCCAACGATTGATAGCGCAACGAAAGTAACGAGCAAAAGTAGCACATGCTTATATACGTCAGCAAAGCGGATACGGAGCCTGACAAGCAGCCACCGTCTGACAGTAACAATTTGCCGATCTCCGGGAGGACAGACGCTGAGATACGACCGAGGGGTGATGGGGCACTCAACCAAAGATCATGGACTTCTGGAAAACAAGAGATTTTACGTAATAGGGTTGGGACCTATCTGCATGCTCTGTATGTTTTGGTAAAATAAAAAAGCTCAGAATTTTTAATGATTTAATTTAAAATCACTTTGTTAAAAAAATGCCTAGTTAGTTCAGAAATTAATTATTTGTGGCTGAAAACGACTTGCGTCTGATTGGTCGGGCTAATCATGACGTCACATGTAGGTATATAACTGTCTGTATATTTGGCGCAGTTGAGACATACATTTTCTATGTATTTTCCTATGGTAAATCGGAGTGATTGGTCGTGTTTTCAGTTTCTCTTTATTTTGCGCTGGTATTGCGTGGCTAAGAAGTTTTATCAAGAATGGCATATACTAAAATGTTCCTTTAATAATGGAGCTTCAATATCTGTGAGTTTTATTGGCAAGCGAAAACTGATTTCGCTGTTATTTTATCTGGAAATTACTCATTTTTTTAGGTCAATATTCAAAATATTTTACGGGAACAAGTTGGCACTTTTCTTGATTTTTGCACTCAAATCGCGTGCGATTCAACTGTATTGGAACTTGCAAAGAAGCTTGGTGATTAATTAACTGCGTTGTTATGGCACTGTTTGCAAAGCATGGATAATGAAACTCTGCCAAAGACTTAGCTACATAGCAATGCCTCAAGTAATACGCAGGAGGGACAGAATTCAGAGTCCGATCGAGAAGAATCGGTGCAAATGCTACGAAGACCAGGCAGCTCTGATACAATAGCTAGTCGTCTCACTACTCTCACTCCATTAGACCAGCTGATTCCTGACAGCACCGACTCGGATGCAAAGATGGAGCTCATCTTCCAAGCCAGAAACCAGTTCTTTGATGGAAGATGTGATGCTGCCTCTGTCTCTGCTTTGTTGGCCACTTTGGACGGGGCGGAGCTCCGCTCCTTGCGTGAGCGGTTATTCGCCTGTCATCCAGAAATAGTTCCTTCGTTTGCTGGCCGTTCCCTGATTAGGTGCAATACGGGGAGCTGTAATCAGGGAAGTAACTTTCCATATGAAAGAGGTGCAGGTGCACCCCGTCCCCCATCCACCAGAAGTGCACCCCCATAGGCTAAGCGGCGCCCCACACGCCGCCCCACACGATTAGCTCTAGAGCAGATGGCGAGGGTGATTTCTCGGCTACATTCCATCTCGGCGTCGTGATGCTTGTGGGCTTGGAAAGCGTCCAGTCGTATGTAGGGTAGTGTAGGGGTAGGGTTGAGTTCAATAAGGTCCTTACATTTGAAAGGTTTGAACAACCCGCAATCAGCACAACATACCACAAGTTAAATAAAAAACTACCAAACTCCGCCCAACTAATATTAATAAACATTACAGCCAAACTAATGGCCTAAATAAAAATATATCTCAAATCCTAACAGTTATCGCGGGTGATGGCGCCATGAGTTACTATTATCCAAAACAGATGCAAATAAACATGTTTGTATGTCCTATGTATGTTTGTTTTAAAAACGTTGCAGCGGCGCTGGGAACTGCAGTCTTAGATCTGGGTATGTTTGGCATCTGCAACTCTTCATATATGTACACATTAACCCTATTTCGGACGGGGAGACCTTTCAGGATTTTCTTGTACAATTACCAAACGCCGCGAGACATTCAGCTCATATTTGGTGACTTTTCCTAAATGCTCATTGCGCACATCTCAGCAAAAAAAAAAAAAAAAAATGCCGGGTCAGGTCAGGTCAGGTAACCAGAGCGGGTTTGTTGACCCCACCTCAGAAAAGTTTGCAAACACGTCAGAGCTTGAGTTTTTCACGAAGTTATTTCCTCTCATCAAGTCTTCAAAACAGTACCTGCAGTAGGTATGTGTCGTTTGCATATCTCAGAATTTTTGATCTGTGACCTGAGGTTAGGTCAGAGTCGTGACCTTTACATTGCAAGCCTATGGAAAAGTATTGAAATGCGACCTGCACCTCGAGTAAACGAGTCAAAACCACCCAATTCTTTAAGAATTATGACAAATTATCTTATCTGTAATGATCCAGGTGCCATTTACTGACAGGGACACCGGAGAGGGTTATCTGAGTCGAGATCATGTGAGGTGATATCTACCATACATCAATGCTCACAATACTAACAATATTGACAATGTTTTTGCTTACAACACTTACAATGCTTACGATGAGACCAGCAAGCACTCTGCCGTTACAGTTCTAACTTCTGTTTCGAAAAACGACGTTACACACATTCGCTGCCAGCATAACATGTATTGTTTGACAGT